AAAAAAAAAAAAAAAACGAAGACTGAAGACTAGAAATGTAACTCGGTTGGTAGAATGCTTGCCTAGCGTTCATGAAGCCCTGGGTTCCATCCACAGCACCACCAGTAAAAAATGAAAAAGGCATTGTGTTGGCCCATTCCTGTAACCTCTACACTAAAAGTGGAGAGATGAAGATCAGAAGTTTAAGGTTATCTTCATGGCCAACCTGGGATTCATAGAAAATCTCACAATGAACAACATCAAAAAAAACCCAGAAAAGCCGAGAAAGAGAAAGGAGACAGAAGGGGAGGGGAAGATTAGATGAGAGCCCTTTTAAGTAGGCTGTATGCTGTATGTTAATCCATCAAAGTGTGCATCACAAAGGGGAATACTGACCACCTAGAAACACACACACACACACACACACACACACACACACACACGCAAGTGGGTGTCTGTAAGGAGAAAAAAGTTTCTACTTTAAGTCTCCTAAATCCTTTGTTGTAGCAGACTTCTATAAAGAAAGACAACTGAACAAGAGAAAGACATGTTCGTTAACATGTTTATTTCATATATTCATTATATATATATATATGTATGTATATCCAGGGAATAATTCTCAAAAGGTGACCTTGAATTCTAACATATGATATGGCATCTTCAGCATAATAAAATGAATGTTTAGAGACAAGTCTTTATAAATGAAAACATCCTTTACAAAAGGATCTATTTTTATAGCTGCACCTCTAATGTTTTCCCCTCATTGGCCTGTAGCTCAAAATAATACATGTGCTAAAAGAAGTATATCTGGGGCAGCATAATCAGAAAGCCTTCAAGATTATGAAAAGATTAGGTTTGTTCTGGGTGACCCAGGCAGCATTTGAGAAGGCTAATGGGTGGAAACTTTAGTGTAACAGATAGGATTTAGCATGGAAATGTTGATGGTTACAGCCATTTCACAGAGATGGGAATCCTTGGAGAAGGAGAGGGGTCTTGTCAGTGACCTTTAATCAAGAGTCCTGACACCTCTGTAAGGATAGTGCAGGGAGGCTTGTAGGAAAACAGTATAGTGTAATGAAAAAAGCCTGGGTTCTGGTTTTAAAGTCTTAACTGTGGTATGCTGACTGTGTGCCCTTGTGTGAGTATTTTAGTCTCTCTAAGCCTCAATCTATTTACCTACAAAAGGCACAATATATGTCTTCCTAGGTTATTGTCACATAAATAGTATAACTATGTTAGTACAGTGTCCAGGCCTTATTAAATAGCCAATGAATGACATCTAAATATCATCATCAAGATTTTATGAGAACCACTTGCATTTATGTTGTATTTGATACATACTTTATTAAATGTCTAGGAGAAAACAATGTATAATTGAATATTAGATATTCTCCAGGTAGCCCCTCATCTGTTTCTAGTATTCTTACCCAAACTTTTCCTGCTGCCTTCTTTCCTCCTTCCCTCTTTCCTTCTAACTCATTCCCTGAGCCCCAGAGTCTTCTCACTGGATCAGGCAAAGCATTCTTCAGCTCTCTCAGCATGTCAGTAGTAGTGGGGTGTGGACTGGAGATACCAATAGCAAGCAGAGGAATTCTTTTCAGAGAGTTCCACTTAGGTGGAACAAGGATTCTTAACTTCAAGGCAGAAAAGAAGTTCAGGATGAGCCAGAATAAAGCAGAGTTGAGGTTTATTAGGAAGAAAGTTTAGCATAGCTTTAAGCATGGGGGTTATTAGAACCACACTTCAGGCTAAGGGGTCCCTTTCCCTTCCTATGTCCCCTTAATTTTCCCTTTCTTTTCTGCCTCAAATCTGTTTGCATCTCTGGTGCTAACTTCTGAGCATGTCAAGATGTCCAGGTATGCCTATGCCTGTAGAGGTCAGAGGTAAAACTTGGGTGGTATTTTATTTACTTCTCTGTTGCTGTGATTAACACCATGATCAAAAGCACCTTGGGGAGGAAAGGGTTTATTTCAGCTTACAACTCCCAAAGCACAATCCATCACTGAGGTAAGTCAGGACAAGAACTCAAAACAGTAACCTGGAAGCAGGAACTGAAGCAGAAATCATGGAGGAAAGCTGCATTCAGGCTTGCTTTCTCTGGGTTGCTCAGTGACTTTTCTTTCTTTATTCTTTTTTAACATTTTTTTATTTTTATTTTATATGTATGAGTATATTATCTGCATACATGTATGTGCACCCATGTTGTGCAGTGCCCACAAAGGTAAGAAGAAGGCATTGGATCCCCTGGAACTGGAGTTAGGAATGGTTGCTAGCCCCCATGTGGGTGCTGGGAACCAAACCCAGATCTTTTGTAAGAGCAGCTAGTGCTATTAACCATGGAGCCATATCTCCAGCCCCTCAGCAACTCTTACATAGCCCAAACCCATCATCCCATGGATTATACTGCCCACAGTGGACTGAGCCTTCCTACATCAATTGGCAATAAAGAAAATGTCCCCATAGATATACCCACAGGTCAATCTGATGGAGGAAATTCCTCAATTTATGTTCCCTCATTCCAGATAACTCCAGTTTATATCAAGGTGACAAAAATTAACTAGCACAGGTGTTAACCAATTCACCTAGACTACCTGGACAGCAAACCTCAGGGATCCTCCTTGATAGGTAAATCAAGTCAATCGTGAGAAAGCACCAGGACACAGGCAAAAACTCTGGCAGGATAGAATTTATTGTCAGAGAAAATATACGGGACAGTCCCCTAATTTTGGATGGAGGAGCTGTCAGTTTACAGGCTGTTGGCCGGAGGTTTTATAGGGGGGTTGAGGATGTGGAAGGTGGGAAAATATTTTTTAAACAAGTTAGGTGGGGAGAGAGCCCAAGGCTTATCAGGAGAGAACAGCCTCTCTCAAACTGCCCCCTTATGTCAGCCAGGATCTGGGTCATGGGATAAAGAACCTGCTTTCCTTCTAAAATCATCAAAGGGGAAGCAGGCTGTGCTGAAACAGCTCTTGCAGCAATCGTGTCTTGGGTCATAGGTATAGGGAGTCTGTTTATCTCGTCTGCAGATGGTCAGGGTGCTCATTAACTCAGTTCCTTTATTTTCAAATGGCTTACAAAATGATAAGGGCCTGTTGCACTGGGGAGGGGGTTGCTGCAGATCTGGACCCTAACATTCCAGCCTTTTGTGTTATAGGATAGGAGGTGTCATCATCATCTTGCTGCTTCCTGCTGAACATGGTAAATGTGGGGGAGGCTGGACTAGGGATCAGTCAGAGAGTGGGGGTTTCCACCTCATGTACCTGAGTAGGGTCCTTGATGGTTGACAGGTGCTTATATATGTGTGAAGGGAAGGAAAGTAACAGCTGATTAAAATTAGTATGAGTTAGTTGTTGAATCTGGCCCTGAAAATATCTGGAGGCAAGGAGCAATGGTTAGCAAAAAGTAATAGAAAGCAGGGGCCAAGTAAGGGCAGAAGCCAGGGAGTCAGTCCTGTAAATATATCCCCTTGAAGTGGCTGCTGATACTGAAAAGTTTTAAATGAAAGATCCTTGGCCACCTGTTGAAGGAGTTTTATATTATGCTCGACCTTACCCAATTGATTGACATACTAACAACATTCCTCGCCCAAGAAAATGCAGGTACCCCTTTTTTCTGCAGCTAATAGATCCAGGGCTCGCCTGTTCTGGAGGGCAACTTCGGCTAGGGAGGACAGTTGCTGTTGTAAGATCTGGATTGACTGGGCTTTAGTTTCCACTGTCATGGTGAGTTCCCACCTGAGGTCCTCTATTTCCTGGAAGAGACGCTGGGTTGAGATCGGCATGTGCCCCAGACCTCTGGCCACATAACTTAAGGTGAACCTGCCTTCCTGGGAGTGGTTATCTATCACCAGGTAATTGACCAGTGAGGCTGGAAAAGTGGGTCCTTCAATAGATAGACTAGACATTTTTATAGTCCAGACCAGTTCAATTTATGGGGCTTATTGATACTCTAACATTCCCCCCTCTGAAGAGGTAACCCTAAAATCTTTTAGGGATAAGAGCTCCAAAATACTTTTAACATTTTTGGCCTTTGGAACAGAGTATCTTGCTAAAAGGCCTAAGGACAATTTAGACAAGAAAGAAACTGGCTACTTTTCTTTGGGGTCTTTTACCCTAACTGCCTAGCCAGTTTCTACCTCCTATTCTTATCACA